AAGTTTGAAACTCATTGTTCTAGCCTAGTTTGTCTTTTTACTACAACCAAAGTGGCTTGGTAAAAGTCATAGTTGCCAGGCGTCCCAGAACTTTTCCCCTTTTTCAAGAAGATGTGCTTTTTGTGCACCTCAGTCTGAGGCCTTGGGAGCACCTGGCTGCAGGTTCAAGGGTCAGGCAGCCTCTGAGAAGCTTCCTTCAGAAGCTTCAGGTTACCCCATGTGCACAATACTTGACCTGTATCTTTCAGCTTGGCTATGTCTCCCCTTTGGACCTTGGGAACCTCACGGAGATTAGTTTCCTTGCCCAACCTTCAAACACATTGTCTAACTGAATACCTGTGATTATTGAGTGTTCACTGTGTACACAGTGCCGGGAACACAGGCAGGGTTTCTGATGTCACAGGTCTGGTGAGGAGACAGAAACAAATAAGGACTTTTGACAAATGTTTTTTTGGACATGGTTATGTTTGTTATATATGATCATCATGTGTGATAGTTACACGAGGATGATTTTATCTCCAATAAATGGAATAGAGAGAGAGGCTGGACAATGGGAAAGGTTAGGGGTTGCTTGCCCTGTGAGTTAGTTAATTCTGGCCTTTCCACGTACTCCCTCTGGAGTTGGCCAGTTTACTTTTCCTTTAAGTCTTCCTTTCTCATCTGTAATGTGGAAATGAGACTGATCAGCTCACTGGGCTGTTGATGGGATTAAATGGCATAATGTATGCAACCTGCTTAGTACAATGCTCAGCCCAGAATAAACACTCATTCAATTTTAGTGGTTATTGTTATTATTAGTATTTGGCAGTGAGGAGCCAAAGATACTATTTTTTAAACCCATCAATGGTGTAATTGGAATTTTGCGTCTCAAATAAAACCGCTCTACTTTTAGAAATACACTCTAATAGTGTTAAAAACAAAAAAAGACTGTAACACCTTGGCCTGCAACAATTATGGTATGGGTTTCAGTTGACCTTTCTGAGTTATCTCTGTTTGCACCTGACTGTCCACCTTTGCCACTAGTGCTCACACATCTGTGTCACAAATTAATTTAGTCAGTGCTTCTCTCCAGTGTTGAGCACAGGAAACAGATGACAAAATGCAAAGCAGAAAACAATCATCACTGAGCTGTGTGTTCAACTGCCTTGGGAATGGCTTTCTGGGGGAAATCCGGCCCCTCCATAATGACATTGATGACTTGGATCTTTGCAGAAATTGAAGAGAATCCTGATGACTAGCGTGTTGGGAGAGGACTGAAGGAAGCCAGACCAGTTGCTGCACTCTCAGATCTTCTCGGGTGCCCTCTGGCTCCCAGGTGACCTGCAGCAGGACCTCTGGTATGTAAATGGGCCTCTTCCCTGCCTCAAAATTTTGTCTCAAATCTTAAGAAGTGGCTGGGAGGTTTTTATTAATTAATTTATTTATTTGCTTATTTATTTATTTAATATTTTTATTGATTTCATAGGAAGAAGGGAGAGAGAGGTAGAAACATTAATGATGAGAGAGAATCATTGATCAGCTGCTCTTTCCTGGGTTTCTAGCCCAAAACCTTGGATGTGCCCTGGCCTGGGAACTGAACCTCAACTCCCCAGTTCATAGGTTGATCCTCAACCAGTGCGCAACACCAGCTGGGCTGGGGAGGTTTTTAATGGGTTGAAAATTTATCTTTTGTATCTGCAACTTGAAATATCCTGTTCCCCTGAATTCGTGCTTGGGAGCTCCCTCAGTGCTCTCTGGTCAGTAGCTCCTTACTGCATGCTTATTTCCCCATGGGCATATTGCAGAGAAACTGGAGCCTGTGTTTCTAACAACTTCTCCAAGGAAAAAAACTGCAGGTCACGTTTCCGGAACTGAGAATCTCAGGAGTCTCCCAAACGTCCATCTCTATTATCTCCTTTGGGCCTGGCATTTGCTTGTAGCTGAAAAGGGAGCGTTTGTCTTGAGCATTCCTGTAAACTTGTGTGACTTGGCAGTTGGAAACTTGACAGTTACGGCTGACCTTCAACTGCAAGAGGGAGTAGTATCTAGACATAACCTGTAGAACATCAGATTATTGCCCTGTAATTCCAGAGCCTTAATGTTCCTTTGTCTTGAGAATGACCTCACTGCTTTTTGAATTTGTAATGGAATGCACAGTCATTTACAAGTAATAACACAATGATCCCTTACACTTTGTACTGCCTTCCCTTTCTCCAGAGGGCTTTCACTCACATTATCTGATTTGATCCTCATAAGTGTCCTGAGAGGTAGACAGAGGGTCTGTGTTAATCTCCAATTTTCAGGTGTAGAAACCAAGGTTTGTGAAAGCTTGAACTGTTATTTAGAGATCGTACAGCTATCAGAAGTGCACCTGGAATCTTGAACAGTCTAACTCCTAAACCAGTGTTCTTTTGGGTACTTACTCTTGCTATGACCTTGGGAATATACTTAACACCTCTGCTCGACAGTTTCCCTCCAACTAAATTAGGTAGAAGACTCCCTCGAGGGGTAACTGCCAGAGGGATTAAATGAGACTATCTGGGGAAGCAGTTACTAACCCATAAAGCGTGCTTCTAATGTGAGGCATTGTCGCTACTTGTACCTGAAATCCAGGTAGTGCCATGAACTGTGACAGAAAAGAAATCTTACCCCTTTTTGTGAAGACAACATATTCTAGAATGATGCTGGGGTTGTCAGGGGTCACAAACAAACTCCCAGCCCTGCGATGGACAAGACTGTCCCTACTGTCCTGCCTGCAGGCCACGAGAGCACTTGGGTTGGGAAGACTCTTTTTCTACAGAGCGCTATCTCTTAATATTCCTTGGAACAGTCTTGCATCTTGGAGACAGTTTTAGATCTGGCAGGACTGGAGAGCAGG